CTCACCTGGAGGGGCAGCGGGGCGGTGCTGCGAGGGAAGCGGTGCTTGAAGACGACGGCGGCCAGCACGCTGCCCGAGCGGTTGTCTGACTTGATGTACTCCTCAAAGTCCCGCTCCGAGGCAAAGCCCTGAGCTGCCGAGGGGGGAAAACACCGAGATGGAGGCAGGGAGCACGGCAGCTCAGCGTGGGCTGGTGCTCGGCCACCACTTTGGTCCAGGACACGAGGGATGCGGAGCTGGGACACACCGCTGCTGTCGGAGACAGGGGATTGGTATGGGATGCGGCTGCACCCATCACAGGGCACAGAGATGACTCCTCCTCCTCGAGAGCAGGAGTCGGCTCTCTGTTCAGAGGGAATCCTAATTGAAGTGCTAAAATTTTCTGTGCAACAAGATTTCTAAGAATACTCTGTCTAAGGGATGTGACAGCCGCTTTAAACTATTTCAGGGCGACATTTTTCTACATGGAAACTGCAACAAAATGCAACCCAAAATCAAGCCAAAATCCCGTTGTTTTAGTGAAACAAAAATAAAACCATTGTCTTGAAGTTCTGAAAAAAATGATGCACGCCTTGAACAGAGCATCAGCGTAAAAACTGGTACCGATTCCTGGGGTGGAAGCCGCAGTCGCCAGCCCCCGCTCACCTCTGATGTTGATGGGTAATGTTCTCTCCACCGCCTCGGCGATGCTCCTGACGGCGCTGCTGTTGGACGGGACGTACGCCAGCTCCCAGGGGTTGCTGGCGTGCCGGCGGTAGAAGAACCCTGGCAGGTCATCCACGCTCTCGGGGGGGTAGACGGTGGCGTTGGGGTGGCTGATGGAGTGCACCCGGTGCCGCAGCGCTATCAGGATGGCGGCGAAGAGCAGGGGCAGGCAGATCTCACAAAGATCTGCCGTTTCTGCAGGAAAGATTTAAAAAAAAACAAAAAAAAAAACAAAAAAAAAAATATGTAAACACTGAAGGTAGATCAAACACGATAACAAGGTTCAGGGCATGCAAATGCCACGTAGCAGAAGCGTTCTTACACTTCACAGCATTTCACAACCCCGGGTTTTCCAGAGCGCAGGAATGATGCTGCGCCAGTTCCCACATCCTTCAGGACATTCCAGC